ACACTAATGTTGGGTCATTTCTTGAAGTAATTTCCTTGTCAGTGAAATCCAGACTCAGAGAACAGGGGTGTGAGGGGAAAGAGGGAAGAAGGGGTTTCATTAAAAAAAAATTTAAAAAAAATGACCTCTGATTTGGAGATCATATTGGAGGAACACTGGAGTTCTTTGAGTGGAATTTCATTTTCAACTCGCTCTCCCTCCTGAACACACTCACGCAACATATAAAGTCATATTTGTGCATGCTTGCATTTAAGCTGTGTACAGAACATGAATCTAAAGCATATTTAAGCGACATTTTGCCTCCTAAGAATTCTGGGAACTGTAGCTTACTCTTCACAGAGCTATAATTCCGAAGAAGTCAGCAGCCACCAGTTCTACACAGCTGTTCTCAAGTCTATGGGAGCTCACAACAAAAGTTTGAGAAAAGGCCTAGTAAACAAGGGTGTTTGCGAGAGCACTGAGCAGGAGAGTTTAAGGTTGAGGCCCAGAGTGCTGTGTTTCCACATATATAGGATCAAGAGACATGCACAGCAAGGCAGCAGGAGCATAAGTAAACAACACCTATGCCTTGTTCATTTTCCTGCTTGATGCATGAAGCTACACCTGCAGCAAGTGTAAGGTGGATGCCCTGCTGGAAGAGAAGGTATAGCAGCCAGACTAATCTTACAAGTTTGGTGAATCAGGGGAATGCTGTGGATGTAATGTATCCAGATTTTGGTATGGCTTTTTGACAAAGTCCCCCATGATTTTCTTGCAGTAAAGCTGGTAAAATGTGGGCTGCACAATGTTACTGTTAAGTGCATTTGTAGCTGGTTGACTGACCCAACTCAAAGAGTGCCCACTAATAGTTTCTTGTTATCCCTAAAAAAAATATGTTCTAGGCCGGGAGGTGCTCAATATCTTTATAAATGATTTGGATTACAGAATTGAGGGGATGCTAATAGACTTTGCAGATGACACCAAACTGGGAGGGGTAGCTAACATCTCAGAAGGTTGAATTAGGACCTTAACAAAATGAATTTCAGCAGAGACAAATGTAAGGTTCTGCACTTAGGCAGATACACAGTTATGGGATGTGGGGATACCTGACTTAGCAGTACATGTGAAAAGGATCTTAGTAAATCACAAGCTTAACGTGTCAGTAGTGTGATGCTAATGCTATTCTAGGATGCATCAACAGAAGTATAATGTCCAGATCGATGGATGTCATAGTACTGCTCTAGTCTACCTTGGTCAGACCCCACCTGGAATACTGTCTACTTCTGGGAACCACAGTTTAAGGGTACAGTATTGACAATCTGGAATGGGTGCAGAGAACACCGACCCAAATTATAATGCATTGGAAAGCAAGTCTGATTAGGAACAGTTCAGAGAGTTGAGTGTGTTTAGCCTGGAGAAAAGAATATGGAGAGGCGAGATGATAGCTATCTTCAGATATCTGAAGGGCTGTCACATGGATGATGGAGCAAGCTTCCTTTCTCCTGTTCCAGAGGGGAGCACCCAAGCCAGTGGATTCAAATTACAATAAAGGAGATTCCAACTAAACAGGAGGAAGAACCTTCTGACACTAAGAGCTGTACAACAGTGAAACTGACTCCCTCGGAAGGTGGTGGACTCTCCTGAACTGGAGATGTTTCAGCAGAGGTTGGGTGGCCATCTGCTAGGGGTTCTTTAGCTGTGATCCTGCATTGCAGGAGGCCGAGCTAAGTGACACTCCTGTGATATTGTTTAGAATGAGAACATAGGAAGCTGCCTTATAGCAAGTCAGATCCTTGGTCCATCTAGCTCAGCATCGTCTACCATGATTTGCAACAGATCCCTAGGCTCCCTGTCCTACCTGGAAATGTTGAGAGTTGAAGCTGGGACCTTCTGCACACAAATGTCCTACCACTAAACTACAGACCTGATGTTTTAACCGCTACAGGACTCCCCTTTCAGCCGCATCGTGCAAGAGAGCTTCAAAAACAAAACATTGTCTATAAATGAGACAGCATGTCCTTAAAAGGGACATAGTAACTGAATTCACAGAATAAACAATTCACAGAATAAAATAAGAATGCAAAAGCCTATTGGATGTGGCCAGCGGCCCCATCTAGTTGAGCATCCTGTTCTCACAGGGGCCAACCACATGCTTACAGGGAACCCTTAAGCAGCACCTATGTCAAACAACACTCCTGCCTTGCTGTGGTTTCCAGCAACTAGTATTCAGAAGCATTATTGCTTCTGATCGTGGAAGCAGAACATAGGCATCATGGCTACCAGCCACTGATAATCTTATCCCCCATGATTTTGTCTAATCCAGGGGTCAGCAAACTTTTTCAGCAGGGGCCGGTCCACTGTCCCTCAGACCTTGTGGGGGGCCGGACAATATTGGGAGGGGAGAAAAAAGAACAAATTCCTATGTCCCATAAATAACCCAGAGATGCATTTTAAATAAAAGCACACATTCTACTCATGTAAAAACACGCTGATTTCTGGACTGTCCATGGGCCGGATTTAGAAGGTGATTAGGCTGGATCTGGCCCCCGGGCCTTAGTTTGCCTACCCATAGTCTAATCCTTTTTTAAAGGCATCAAAGATGCTGGCCAGTTCCATAGTTTCAGTATGCACCGTGTAAACGAGTACTTTCTCTTGCCAGTCCCGAATCTTCCAACTTTCAGCTTCATTGGTCATCCCCGAGTTCTTGTGTTACGATAAAGTGAGGGAGGAAAAAATATATATCTCCGCTGTCTCCATACCATACATAATTTTAAATACTTCTATCATGTCGCCTCATTCAGAAATGAAGAAAATAATATTGAGTTCTTCCTCCTTCTAATACATTGTCAGATGTCAGAAGTGTTGCAGCGGTGGAGGTGATGCGTGGGGTGGGAGTGGGGGGAATACACCAGTGTCAAGTATATGGATCCATTAGAGTGCTTGGGTTTGTTTTTTTATTTCCTTCTGGTCTCTTAATCCAGTCCATCCTCATTTCTTCTGCCCCATCAGGCTCCTCCTGACCATACTTCCATAACCTCCCGTGCCTCCCTGAGATACCCAAATTCCCCCAGCACACAATTTTCCTTTTGTAGCCTTTATGTTCCGCCATGTGCGTGCACACACACATAAAAAAAAATGAAAAAGAAAAATGGGGGTGGGAAAGAGCCAGTAATGTTTCCACAAGCTGGCATTTCCTAACTAAAGAAAGTTATTGATGTACAAAGCCAGTTTTTTTTAGTGTGGCAAGAAAATCAATAAACCAGGAAATATGGCTTTGTCAAGTGTTGCCCAGGTAGTCTTTCTGGGAAATCCTTTACTGCCTCTCAGACGGTCGCAGGAGTTGTTGTTTTGTCTTTAGAGCTCGCTCCAGATCCCAAACTCTGCTTTCTGTATGAAGTACTGACATTCTTCCACCCTCTAGTGACAGCAACAGAAAAAGGCAAAAGGTTTGGAGTTCCCCTCTGCTGCTTTCTCTCCTCTTACTTTTTGCAAAATAATAATTTTGCCTCTGCTACACACACTTGGTTCACCCTCTTTGGAAACTGATAAATTTCATTTGTGTGCGATGGCAGGAGGGTGAGAAAGATCTCGAGATTGCCAGAACCTTGCAAACTAAGAAATCTATCAAAAGTTTTGTCTCGGTTATTTATTTTTTTAAAAAAAGAAATATAGAAATAACACGTGAAAAGTTACCACCAAAAAAAATGAGAGAGATGGAGGGTTTTTTTTAACTAGATGGACTGTGAAGACCAGAGCTTAGAAGTCTGGATTCTTTTTGAGGGATCTCCAAGGCCAATGAAATAAAGCAAAATTGAATGCTGGTTGGAGAGAGCAGATTGCTACCTTACAGGGCTGTTGCAGAGATCAAATATAGGGTTGAGATGCCAACCCTGAACTCCTTTGAGAAAGGGTGGGAAAATTCCTCAATGATACATTGGGCAATACACATGGGAATGATTGTGGAATACGGACATAAAATTCACAGCATGCTATGGTTTAAGAGAAAACTATATGAAAATGTTTTATCAATGGTATCTAACACTGAGAAAATAGACAAAAATGTATAAATCAAAAAGTGTTGGAAATGGAAAGAGAAAGAAGGTACTTTTTATCATATGTAGTGGTCATGTAGCAAGGTTAAAGCTTACTGGGAAATGATATATAATGAATTGGAAAAGATGTTGAAAATAAGATTTGTAAAAAGAAGAAGAAGAAGCTTTTCTTTTGGGAATTATAGGGGCAGAACTACCCAAACTGTGTAGAAATTTATTCATGTATGTGACTACAGTGACAAGAATGTTATTTGCCCCAAAATGGAAAGAAGAAGCCCCAACAAAAGAAGAGCAGATACAAAAACTTATGCAGAAATGGTGAAACTTACTGGAAAAATAAGAAATCAAGATAACAAACTTTTTACAAAAGAATAGAAATGGTTTATTGAATATTTACAAACTAACTATAAACAGATAAGAACATTGGCAGGATTATTGTAATAACCTGCAGTTTTATAAGAGTAAATATTTAAAGTATATGAATAAATGAGTAAGTTACCGTATTTTTCACACCATAGGACGCACCGGACAATAGGACGCACCTTGTTTTAGAGGGGGGAGAACAAGAAAAAAAAATCTCCCCCTCTCTGCCCAGCGCCCCTTCAGCGAAGCGGCAGGAGGCGCTGCGCAGAGAGGGGGAGAATTTCCCCCCTTTTGTTTTCCCGCTCTAAAACAAGGTGCCGTTCAGGCAGCTTCCTTGGAAGCCTGGAGAGCAATAGGGGCAAGTGCGCACCGACCCCTCTCGCTCTCCAGGCTTCAGGTTCCTTTCGACCTGCTCTTTGGGGCTGGTGGGGGGAAGCCCACCACCAGCCCCAAAGAGCAGGTCAGGGAGCAGCAGAAAGGCGCAGCGGAGAGGCTGCTGCCATAGTCGCGGCGTCACCTCTCCAGCGCGCGCGAGGCTAAAGAAGCCATAGCCCCGCGCCCCTCTCCCAGCTGGAGAGGTGACGCGCGGCTAAAGAGGCTCCTGCCATAGCCGAGCGTCACCTCCTCTCCAGCCGGGAGAGGGTCGCGGGGGGCTTCTTTAGCCCCCCACGTGCTCTCCCGACTGGAGAGGTGATGCGCGGCTATAGAGGCTCCTGCCATAGCGGCGCGTCACCTCTCCAGATGGGATAGGGTCACGGGGCTATGGCGTCTTTGCTCCATAGGACGCACACACATTTCCCCTTCATTTTTGAAGGGGAAAAAGTGCGTCCTATAAAGCAAAAAATACAGTAATTTAGAATATGCAGGAAATATAAAAAATAAATTTAAGTAACTGCAGGAAGAGGGGGAAGGAAGTCGAGTTTTGAAATGTTAAAATGACTGGGAAACTATTGAAATGTATATATAACTGAAAATCATAAATAAAAAAAATGGGAAAGGATGGGAAAAGACTTTGGGAAGTATATCATCTGGATTCTGAGGAATAAATGAATGGCCAAATTTTGTTAATAATGGAGAAAAGAGGAACACTCCCTTTCCACTCATCCACCTCTCCAGTAATTCCACCAGTGCGCTAGTGTTACCCAAATCAGTAACTTTGGGAAGAAGACAGGAGTACAAGACTATAAGAGTTCCAGGTGCACATTGAGGGGAGTTGGCAGGCAACTTACTTTGGGGGTAGAACGCTTTCTTCGGTTCGTCCATCTCTGTTTGTCATGTCCCCAAACGGAGCATCCATGGGGCAGAGGAGGAGGGAAGCAGAAAGGGACAAAAAAGTGGAGATAGTTAGCAACTAAGCCAAGCCTTTGAGAAGAGCTCGTATCTCCTGCAGATTCTTAAGCTCTACAAATGCTGTCAGAAAGGCCCTGCATAGATAGAACATTTTAAATGTTTGTAACCTCCTTTTCAACCAAACGTCTCAAAGGAGGCCTAAAAAGACATACTAAAAACAACAACAACTACAACAACTAATTTTATTTATATCCCGCCCTCCCCAGCCATAACTGAGCTCAGGGTGGCTAACATCAAAATATAAATACATTAAAACACAAAATTCAGCAATCAACTGAAATACAGCTTAAAATTGCATTAAAATCAAATAAGATCAGAAGGCAATTGGCAAATTATGACTATAGGGGTTGGGAACATTAGGTAGTCACCAGGCTCAGCTATTTATATGAGCCAGTGAGAGGAGTTAGAGTGGCCTCTTATATGTAGGGTCTTGTAAGAGGAGAGGGGTCAGACTGGGCCCTAACCAAAGGCCTGGAGGAACAGCTCCATCTTGCAGGCCCTGTGGAAAGATGTCAAGTCCCGCAGGGCCCTGGTCTCTTGCGGCAGGGCATTCTACCAGGCTGGGGCCAGGGCCAAAAAGGCCCTGGCTCTGTTGAGGCCAGTCTAACCTCCTTGAGGCCCGGGACCTCCAAGATGTTATTGTAGGGTTCTCTGTGGGGCATACCAGGAGAGGCGGTCCCGTAGGTACGAGGGTCCCAGGTCGTATAGGGCTTTAAAAGTTAGAACCAGCACCTTAAACCTGACTCTGTACTCCACTGGGAGCCAGTACAGCTGATGTAGCACTGGGTGGATATGGTCCTGTGGTGAAGACCCTGTAAGTAGTCTCGCTGCAGCATTCTGCACCTGCTGGTGTTTCTGGGTCAGCTTCACAGGCAACCCCGCGTAGAGCGAATTACAATAATCAAGCCTGGCGACCATCGCATGGATCACATTGGCTAGATCAGGGCGAGAAAGGTAAGGAGCCAACTGCTTAACACGGCAGAGATGGAGAAATGCAGCCTTTGCTGTGGCTGTAACCTGCGCCTCCATAGAGAGAGAGGTGTCGAGGGTCACACCCAAACTTTTGACAGAAGGTGCTGGCACTAATTGTGCCCCTGCAATTTTTTAAGCTACTATGTTGTATCATTGCATATAATGAAAATCTAATGATGCCATCATGCTGCAGTCTGCTTGGCCACAGACAGGTGGCAATGAAAACTAGACTCTCCGAACCGCTGAGCCATCGCGGGATGGGCAGTTGGGTGGGCAGCTCAGGGAAGCATCCCAGATGCTCTGTGGAGGTTTGGCACGGTCTAAGAGAGGGAGTGGTAGCTTTGTTGAGCTCTAGGAGGGGTGGGGGATGCTATGGCAAAGAGTAAAGGGAGAGGCAAGTGGTTAAGTTGCCGTTTCCAAATAAGCAGTCAGGGATTGTGTCTGGAACCATCATTTGCATGCCATTCATGTGCTCTGCCACCGCGCTCTGGCACTGCACAGAGTGGGGCCCCACTGACTGCAGTGCACCTGTCCTACCTGCCTCCATGCCCTGCCAGGGACACTTGCTCATCTTCCCACCTGTACTGATGGCAGTCATTTTTCCTGGGGAAGGAGAAGAGAACCATCTCTTGAACCACTTACATTTCTTTTAACATCTCCTTGTTTCACAGCAAGCCTCACGTCCAACAATATCACACCCATGTCATCCTCTAAGCTGTTTGGATCTTCCAGTTTTAGGGTCAACTCACTAGTCCTGAAAGCAGAAGAGTTTATTTAGCCAAAGACTGTCTTTAAGATCACGGCAGACAGCCACCAACTATTATATGGTGCCACTAAGATGCTATTTCTGTTCTCCATAGCCTGTTACTATTAATGTGCATGATTTACATATTATTTAAATGAGCAGCGGTGGGGCAGTTTTGGCCTTCCAGGTCTTGCTGGACTACATCTCCCATTAATCCTGACCATTAGCTATGCTGCCTGAGGCTGATGGGAACTGGAGTCCAACAACATTTGGAGGACAACAGTTTTTGCCAGCCCTGTTCTAGAGCAGACATTATAAAGAAAAAGGCAGGTGTCTGCATGAGAGACCAAAGGGAATAGAAAGAAAAATGGACAAAGTTTTGAGGCCAAGGAGAAAATAAATAAATAAATAAATAAATAAATAAATAAATAATATATTTATACCCCACCCATCTGGCTGAGTTTCCCCAGCCACTCTGGGCGGCTCCCAACAGAATTAATGATAATAATAAAGCGATAAAACATCAGACATTAAAAACTTCCCTAAACAAGGTTGCCTTTAGATGTCTTCTAAAAGTCAGATAGTTGTTTATCTCCTTGACATCTGATGGTAGGGCGTTCCACAAAGTGGGTGCCACTACCGAGAACGCCCTCTGTTTGGTTCCCTGCAACCTCACTTCTCGCAGGGAGGGAACCGCCAGAAGGCCCTCAGAGCTGGACCTCAGTGTCCAGGCTGAACGATGAGGGTGGAATCACAGTGACTTAGAGTTGCACCCACACTTTGTGTACCATAGAGCTTATATGAATTTAGAGACAAACATTATTAACAAAATTCTAATTTGAATTTGTTTGCAATATTTCTTTCATAAATTTGAGAAAGGGTATTGACACAAGTAAAAAAGAATTTGTACAGACCTATACAGGGTATTGAAATAAGTATATTACTGTAAATATACAGTGGTACCTTGGTTCTCGAACTTCCGAACGGTTTGACTTTCGAAATGTTCGAAAACCAAGGCTTCCAATTAGGGCTGGCGGCCTGGAAACAATAGCTGAGAACCGCATCAGACGTTCAGCTTCCGAACAATGTTTGGAAATCGAAACACTTACTTCCAGGTTTTCGGCATTCGGGAACCAAAATGTTTGAGTACCAAGGCATTTGATAACTAAGGTTCCACTGTATATGAATTTAGGTACCTAAGCACTTATCATTGTCCTAATTTGTTGTTTGTTTGTTTGTTTGTTTTGGGGGGGTTCATTAATTTTTTCCCCAATTTTCCAATTCTTCATTTAAGACTATTAGAGGAAACGTAATATCAAATTTCTAAATAATATCGCCTTGAAATTCAAATACAAGCTGTAAATTTGAAGAGTTTATGCATTCCTCATGGTTTCATTTTAGAAGAAAAAGAGAGAGAAGATTCAGCAAGCTAAATTAGAATTCTGTAAGTTTTAGCATTTCGAGTCTCACAGAATGGATAACCAGCATCCCTAAGTAAATCAAATTAATGTTTAATAAGTTCTAAGTGTACCTGTTCAGTTCCAGTTCACCCAGCATGACAACCGCTGAACCCATAAAGTCTGAAGAGGTTAAATCTCGATCATACACCTGATGCATATGGAAACAGGAGAAGAGGAAAAAGAAATAGATATCTGGACACCTGGAAACAATTTCTGCATTTCAGATAAAAGAGCTATTTGTTCTCTTTCAGTTCTCTGAAATTCACGTGAAAAGCATCTGTTGATCGCATTTTTTATTGTTGTTTATTGGCCTGGTTCAAAACACTAAGCTGTGGTTTGTTTAGCTAGCATGTGGCTTGTTTGAATGCCTGAACCGAGACAAGCAGACTAACCTGGCTTGTTGTCTTGAAATGATGCAAAGCCAGGGTTTCTTGTGGGTTTACAAACCATGGCTTGCTTTAAACTCTACTTTGGCATTGGTTTGAGCCCAACTATTCTGCTCATTCATGCTTTGTTTGGCTACCCCAGTTAGATATTCAACAGGCTATAGGCAAGACAACTGGAAAACAAACCCAGCTTCTTTGGAGAAGCAAATTGGCCTGTGTTTGCTCATCTGAGAGATGGCTCAATGTTTGTTGAGCAAACCATGGTTTCATGTTACGTGTAAGTAAAGCCAGTGAGAAGTTTTCAGGTGTATTCATAGCACTTCTCCCCCCCCAAAAAAAAAACCCTCAATATATTTTGTTCACTTTTGTCAACAAAACAACTCAAATTTTCCCTAAAACCAATTTGTAATTATTATTTTTTAAAATGAAGTTTTGGAAGTTTCAAACAAAAACTATGAACACATTTTTTCTTTGAAGAAATACTCAAAAGAAATAAGAAAACCTGACAAGCTGTTAACTTTTAAAGTTGCTGGTGTTGTGTGTTTTTTTTAAGGGATAAAGCTTGCCTTTGCCACCCTCAGACAGATGGTTCCTAACATACCGATAGTTAAAACTATTCATTGAGATTATGCCCAGAAATAGGTGTTTTTATCTACAGGCAGTGCTCACAACAGCTATTACGAAGGCTTATTCTATGGATAAGAGACAGTTTTCAACAGAAAGTTAGGACTATAAGCTCTTTTGTACCAAAGTCAAGTTCCTTTAGCTGAGATTCCTGCATTGCAGGGGGTT